CGACTCAGAAGTTTGAAGACGAGCACGTGCTCGAAATGTAGGCTATAAAACTTGATGGTAATAAATACATGTGATGCTGAAAGCTGGAGTAAGCTTTGTAAAAAGTAAGCTTTACTCCAACAAATGAAAAACTGGGAACGCATTCCGCAAAATTTTCGAGATAGAGCCAATGTCGGGTAAGGGATATTAGGAATGAGGCAATGAAAATGATGGTTGTATGAACCTAAAAGGGGCCAGTGGAGCACCCCTCCTTAAATAATTTTGCATGATATAATAAACTACAGAAAATAAAGCTAGTTTATGGATGTGCCCCCCCCCCCCCCTAAATACGTCTGATGACCTTTATTGGCTTTCAAAGGAACAGGCAGGTAGCATTAGGGGGCCTGCTTCCCCAACTTTTTCCAATCAGAACTTTTTACCCTTGAAAATGAAATGTTCATTGAATTTTGCCCGGTTGCACCTCCCCACCCCCTCCCCCGTATTTGTTGCAGTATAGTCAAATACGGGTAATGTAGTAGTTAATTAATAAAATTTAGCAATGAAAGAAATTGGAACCTATTTTGCTTGTCAATTTTTTAAGTTTAGTTGATTTTTTTTTTCAGACTGACCCCTCTCTTTAAAAAACGATGCTATGCCCATGAGTAAATTTTGCTTGGTAGTGTCCACCAAAAATGCATGGTTGTGTCCCCAAACTGAAATGGTTCTTAAGGGTCTGGAATTCTTGGACCAATTAAGATTTTATTAGTAATACCCCTACTCAATAAATGTTATATCTTTAAAGAAGGCAATATTGCATGAAATGTACTTCTAAATAGCATGATCTTGTATGATATGTAGTTCATATTGTAAAGTAATTTTGTCAAATCCATATATTAGACTAAACCTATCCACTTTAAATTAAAAACGAATATTTCTAGACGGAGGACCCTTCACGGAGATCGAATGTAGAAACTGACAATTACCAGAAAATGAAAGAACCTGTAGAATATTTTGATTTTTGTAATGATTGAAGATGAATGTCATTTTTTGCTTGAATTTTTTAGCGAATGTCCTGTACGTGTGTCTCTAAGAAAAATTGCATCAAACTGCATCATTTTAGGTCTCCAACTACACTCAAACCAACGCAGCTGTCTGCTCAGCAGTTCAAAATATCAGTGTTTCGATTGATCATGGAACTTTAATTCAATTTATAATAATTCATCAATAATGATGACAAGAAATAGTAAAAAGAGTCTTCTCAGAAGACATTTATTTTTGGCCTCTTGAAACTTTGGCATTCAAAAGCTTTCAGAGACTTTGCCCTTAGGGGAATCTCAAGGCGCCCCAAGCCCCCTGCCTTATCTGCTCGCCTCACCCCACTTTAAATCCTCTACCCACCCTTGATTGTATTATAAGATACGCGTGTCAGAGCTTTGGTAACTTTGATTATAAAATGTTTCAAAAGTTAAAAAGCCCTTAGCGATGCTTGAGGACATCCCAGCCCAGGTATAAAAAGCAGTTTAAAGCTGAACACGACTCGTAAATAGGCATGCATACGCCATTTTCGATATTACTATCTAAGATATCAGCACCGGGATATACTCTTCGCATTTGTTACACCTGACTGCTTTATTGTCACAGGTATCGGCGTGGAATGGCGACAGGTGTTCGTGCTGGTTACCTTGCATTACTTTTGTTTACATTTTATTGCAATTACGTATATTTGTGTTTGTTTGTATACTGCACTGACCTGTGCAATTGTTGTAAATCTCCTTGGTATCTTACTCTCTTGCATTAGAAGAAGCAGTTATTTTTGTCGCCACCAAGTGCTGTATAGCATACGTCCGTCTACACCAGTGACAATTGAATACACTGAACAGTGACCAGTGAGCGGCTCTATATATAGGGGCCCTCAGATATAGCGAGAGTCCAATCGAATATGGCGGACAGATTCTTTTTACGAAGCGTGTTCAGCTTTAAATACTACGCAATATTTTTGGTGCATAATACGCTCCATACTCAAGATATGTACATGTTCATCAAACCGAAAATGTCCAATATGTTCCTTTTTAAAGACAGATTTCCCCCTTTCCTCTATATATTTTAGCACAAGAAAGTGCTAGGATGTATGACAATTACAATGGAAGTCATTAGTTTTATCTTCAAATAAAGAATTATAAGGTTTGTAACCTCGCATTCATTATTAATATATCATGTCTGGTAACATGCAAGTCAAAATATTTCACTGAAAATTTTAAAGGACTGATATGCATCTTTAAGATATTATTTCATCAACCTTTCTCCTTCCACAAAAACCAAGTTTGATAAGAAAGCATAAGTGTACATATATATGTTTTATTCCCTTCTTTGCATTGTCATTTCAACATGAAAGGATTTGTACATACATGTATGTATTAAGACAAGGAATTATTTTCGCAGATTTAAAAATTCTTTAAAATTCCAAATATAATATGATAAATCTTCTTCTACAATTGTTTCTATCAAAGTGCTAAACATTACTGAACTTATGAAAATAATGCATTACTTTTGAAAGTAAATTATATAATGATTTGTTAAATTGCATCAAATAATATTAACTTCGAGGAGTTTTCTGAAGAAATATGTACTCTGATTTGACAAAAATACAAATATATATACACTTAACATAGTTCATACGGACCTTTCAAACACTAATTCCATGACTTTCCAAAACCTTCTTGTCTTTAAATCAACAATTTTTTTTTATTTCTCATGCTTCAATACAAAAGTACATACCAGTACAGCACAAACAACAAAGAGTAAACATTGTTGGACAATTTTTTTGTATATATTGCTGCACATAAACCTCTAAACATTTACAGTCCTTTTTCTTGCAATTTTAAGTATAAAAATTATTAATATCCAAACAATAAGCTTTTTGTTGTGTTACACAAGATGTGATGGTTGCCACATTGCTGAAAAAATGCATAACCTGCTTCAGCTTTGTATTATAATATGAACACCCCTCCCTCTGATCTGCATGTAAAGTTGTAAACATGATGGAAGTATTGTGGTACATGTACAGTAAACACACAGTTAAATCAAAGTTTTGAGAACTTGTGGATTAATAATTGATTAAATCTGTATCAAATTTGCATTAAACTACAATTAGTGAATTGGCAATACACAAATTTCCTTCTTATAACTTCTGTCATACATGTATGGAGTTTATGTCTTCAAGTTGATTTGATATACAAGAGCATGCTCTACAGACAATAAACAATCTTTAAAATGGGGCAAGCTATTGACATATAAGTTGATGATACAAGGATATCAACAGCCCTGTTTAAAGTCAGCAATTTGCAAATTCTATGATGGATGCAATGACCTTATTAGCAATACAATCTTTTTAAGTCAAATGTTGATTGACCTTTTCATACTAAATGTTATGCAATTATTTTCACACTGAATTATGACCCATAATACCCTAACTTTAATCCACATATCCTGGGGATGCTTCAATATTGATTAAGAAGGTCATGTTATTCTGCAGAAGGGGAAAACACTCATTGAATAATAAAAAATTGCTTCCAGATTCTAGCTTACTCTAATACTGGGAACAATAATTTAAAGAAAATTTGAATCCACATAACTTGGGAATGTTTCAAAAGAAGTGTTGGCATGGTGTTTTCTACATTGTTTTTCAAAAAATATCATCGTCATACATTTCACTTTGAAATATTGATCCCCTTTGTTGCCTTATTCTACTCCTGAGGGCCAACAAGTTGTAGTCCCATTTTACCCCCAGGGACCATTATTTGGAAAAATTAAATCTGCTCTGAGGATGATTTACAACATATTAATATGACTAATCATGACCTTGTTATTCTTTACAAGAAGAAAATAAATATTTTTCCTATATATTCCCATGTGTAAAACTGTGATCTCCTGTTGTGGCCACACAAGATTTGAACACCCTTAAGGTTATACCAAACGTCAACATGCCCAAAAATTTATTTTTACAACAGCTCCAAAACTATGTGAGGTATAAAGTTAAAACTTTTACAGTTTATAAAAATATCATTGATTAACAGATAGAAAGTATCACTTGATAACAAATACTTAAAGAAAGTATTTAACGAGAAAAATTCTTTTTAAAAAATGCATATATTTTTTAAAAAATACACCTAATTAATTCCGTACTTTTAGTGAAAGCCATCATTGCAGAAACAATATATGTTTATCAATGAAAGGCAAGTTGGACTTCGATAGTCTCTGGAAAGTTGTTTTCCCTGTTTATTTTGTCCAAATATTAAGATTTGAAACCGAAAGTACATTGCAAATGGCGGATTTTATAGGGTACTTGTCTTTATACATGTCATGCTTTCAATAATAGCCTTTCAGAGACCATTCACGTCCAACTTGCCCTTCATTGATAAACATATATTATTTCTTCAATGATGGTTTTCACTAAAAGTACAGAATTAACCAGGTGCATTTTTTTAAAATATGCAAATTTTTTGAAATTGTTTTTTCTCAAAAAATATATATTTTTTAAATATTTGTTTTTAAGTGATACTTTGTATCTGTTAATCAATAATATATTTATAAACTGTAAAAGTTTTAACTTCATACCTCACATAGTTTTGGAGCTGTTGTAAAAATAAATTTTTGGGCATGTTGACCTTTGGTAAAACCTTAAATCAGGAAGCTTTCACATAACATTAACATTTTCCAGCCAAGTTGTTCTTGAAAAGAAGACTTTAGAAAATCCATCAAATTTTCATGAACTCTTAATTATCTCCCCTTAAAAGAGGGCATGGCTCTTCGTTTGAACAAACTTTTTCCCCTTTTATTAAAGGATGCTTTGAGGCAAGTTTGGTTGAAATAGTCCAAGTGATTCTAGAGAAGAATTCAAAAATGTAAAAAGTTAACAGACAACACACATCAGATGGACAGACAGAAACCAGACATTTTTCAATCAGAAAAGCTCACTTGAGCTTTAAGTTTGGGTGAGCTAGAAAAGTAACATGTACACTTGATGAAAAAAAGGCAACACTATATATAAAAAAGAATTAAAAAATAAATGTACATGCATTAATATAAATTATTAGGCAAAAAAATCCCTCTCCAGATCTATGGTGTTGTTGACAGAATATTCAGACATAATATTCGAAACTCTTCCAACTTCTTTTCTTTTTGATCAGTGTCTTCATTTTTTTTCTTCCTTAATGTCATTTTTAATTTTTGATCGTAGTGCTATGGGTGATGATACTGTGAAAATATATATCTCTGAAATAGGCAGCTAGTCTTCTTTTTTCCCCGTCATTTGATGTTTTCAGGTAATATCTGAAAAGAAAGCATCATTCATGAGCATTTAAAGCAATGTAAGCTATATCAACAAAAATTACAACCTACAATTTCCATAAAAATTATGAGGGGTTTAGAAATTCTGCATTCTGTAGTAAGTTATAACTTTGAATTCATTTCAATGTTGTGACTGTATTTATTCTAGTTGAACCAAATTGGGCTGAGGTTCAAGGTTTTACAAAAAGAAAAAAAAATACCGGGTAAGGGAAAATAATATCATTTGTTCTTTCTACAGTAAGGTTTTACTCTTTCAATAAGCTCAAGTGATGCAGTGGTTAGAGCATTAGTCGCTTTGTCTGTCTGTCAGTCTCTCCCACTTGGCTTTCTGCACTTTTTTCCTAAATGCTTGCAGAAAATGAGCTTTTTTTGGTAAGTGTGTGTATCTTGATGAATTACCTTACATACTTGCCTATAAGTTGGTTTTTTGGGAGTTAAACTTTGGTCCAAAACTCTTTACCGACTTATACGCAAGTTTTAACAAGATTGGTAATTTAGTGGGTCAATCCCTCTAATTTAAGCTTAATAAATACAACCAACTTATAGGCGGACCGCCTTATAGGCGAGTATATACGGTACAGATCAAGTTTCAATTTCATTCCACAGGGATTTATCCAAGTTTTGGGGGAAACTGTGTTTTTTGAGAAGTTAGGAAATTACTTTCAATTAAATTAATTTATTATTTTGAAGCAAGTGATCTTTTTTATAAGGTCTACTTACCCTTTCTACTGTGTGTACATCTGTTCTCCAATTCAACTAACCTGTAGGATCTTGGCTAGAAGTTGACAAACTAGGGGTATCTGTAAGTTAAAGACAGATTAGTAGGAATAAACTGTATACATGGAAATTCCCCCCCTCCCCCATTTTATTTTTGCCCCTTTGGGCCTACTCACAGGTGTGCAATTTTAAAACGGGGTAAATTCAAAGAACACAGTATGTATAATTTCTTAAACAGAACTGTGACTGACCAATTTTAAAACGGGGCAAAATTGTTTGCAAGTGTGAAAGGGCAAAAATAACATGGGGTGAAAAAAGTCCTGTACAGAGTACTGCAAATCACCAATTTTCCATAATATCAAGTACTACTGACCATGTTGACAACGTTTTAAAAGTAGGTCTTAGTGTAATAAATGCTGGATAAAATCTACTTATTGTTGTGTACAATTAGAATTTTTCAGTAAGAGCTCTAACATTTAACCAAACCTTAAGAAAAAAATCTTATTTCTCTATTAAAGTTCTTGCAAGTAAATATTATAAATTTGTAGTAAACAAAAGAATATCTTGCTTTTAAATTTACAATATAGAATTATTAGAAGTACATGGACAATTAAAATAACACTTCCTATGTAATTCTGACACTCTTAATTGTTTAATCTGAATTGCATTAAGCATGTTAAGGTATTCCTTTTTTCACTTAGGTAGATATTTTTCCTAATGAAAACTAATCCTTATCTAACCTATCACTCATTTTAAATGCAACAAAAATACATTTTTAGAATCTTCTGAAAGACAGTTCGACAAGACTAGTACTCGTTAATGTCAAACCCTGACAGTCAAACCCTGTTATCTTGACCTAGACGGGACTGTGAAAAAACTTGGAGATATCTGGAAGATTTGGGATACTGAGGGAAAAATTCTTAATAATAAGTGATTGGGACTAGAATACCATATTTTACATGGTATTCGAGATATCAGTGTTCGAGATACTAAAGTTCAACTGTTATTACTGTAGTATGTATTCTATAAACCAACTATTATTCCTGACAATTTTTATTCAGGATTCCTTACTTTATTGAAATCCATCTGCAACAGTGACCATTAATTTTCACAGAGCTCTAAGGAAACATTCTAATACACTGTCACAACTTATGCATGGCACCTGATGAGAAATATTTGCAAGTAGTGAAGGTTGCGAATCTTGCAGATCTTTCTTGTAGGCAAGTTAAAGTTGGTTTACAGCATATTAAGTATATATACTGAACTTTGCAGGGTATAATAAAGTCTTACTTCAAAGTAATTTCATCTAATGTTTCCCTAAGTACGACATCTTTCATCAACTGCAATCAAAATTGGAATACATAAGCCAGTTCCAATGTCCTTCCTTGCAGTCCGTGGTATTCCCTGTGAACTGAGATTGGGTCTCCATGACTTCAGCCACTTTAATTCTTGATTGTCCCCAAATCTTTAATCTTCAAAGAGAAAAAGCGTCAACTCAACTTAAGGTCAATATCTTCCTAGAAACTTAGTCTTCCTAGAAAAAAGATGCTCAAAAACCAGAAGTCTCTGATGAGACTCACAGTCGCTCTACTGGGTTGTACTTATAACAAAGGAAGAGAAAAGTAATACTTGGATTGAAACTTTGTAACAGCAATAAATAGAATTAAGTATCATAGTGTTGTCTACTTGTGTGCCAAGTTATACTGTATTTAAACCAATACTGTAGGAGAAGTAGCATTTTGAAAGTATTTTACAGAAATTTCTATTTTTTGTTTTTTGTAACCATGGCAACACTGTTGATCAAAATCCAAAACAGATATACAGAATTATGTAGCTTAGTGTTGTCTACTTGTGTGCCAAGTTATATTGTTATCAGACCAAAACTGTAGGAGGAGTAGCATTTTAAAAACAAGAGGCCCATGGGCCACATCTCTCACCTGAGCACATTGGCTAAGAAAAAAGCAAAAATCAGTTCACTTCAAAAGGGGGGGGGGGGGGGCTTGAATTTTAACTACCTGATGATGCTTCAATATCAATATAACAAAAGGCTTTGATGTTCTTGCGCAGATTTTTTCCTATATATTCATTTGTAAAAATTTCATTCCCCATTGTAGCCTCACCCTACCCCCGGGGGTCCTCATTTGAACAAATTATCAATATGACTAATCATGGTTTTTCTGTTCTTGCGAAAAAGATTTTTTCCTATATATTCCTATGTAAAACACTGATCCCCCATTGTGGCCCCACCCTACCCCTGGGGGTCATGGTTTGTACAAAATTAAATCTAAACGATCTGATGATGCTTCCATATAAATATGACCAATCATGGGTTTGCTGTTCTTGAGAAGAAGTTTTTTCCTATACATATACTCCTATGAAAAACTCTGATCACCTGTTGTGGCCCAACCCTACACCTGTGGGTCATGACTTGAAAAAAACTTAAATCTACACTACCTGAGGGATGCTTCCATTAAAATATGACCAATCATGACTTTGCTGTTCTTGAGAAGAAGAGTTTTAAAGAATTTTCCTATGTATTCCTATGCTAAAGTTTGATCACCCGTTCTTGCTCCACCCTACCCCCGGGGGTCATTATTTGAATCTACACTATCTGAGGATGCTTTCATATAAATATGACCAATCATGGCTTTTCTGTTCTTAGGAAGAAATTTTTAAAGATATTTTCCTATATATTTCTAGGAAATTTTGATCCCCCATTGTGGCCCAACCTTACTCCCTGGGGTCATGATTTAAACAAATTTGAATCTACACTACCTGAGGATGCTTCCATATAAATATGACCAATCATGGCTTTGCTGTTCTTGAGAAGAAGATTTTAAAAGATATTTTCCTATATATTTCTATGTAAAAACTTGATCCCCCACTGTGTGGCCCCACCCTACCCCCGGGGGTCATGATTTGAACAAACTTGAATTTACACTAATTGAGGATGTTTCCATCTAAGTTTCATCTTTCCTGGCTCAGTGGTTCTTGAGAGGAAGATTTTTAAATGATGCCATTATTATTTCACTAATTCCTAACTATCTCCCCTTGAAAGAGGTCATGGCCCTTCATTGAACAAACTTGAATCTCTTTCATCCAAGAATACTTTGTAGCAAGTTTGCTTGAAATTAGCTCAGTGGTTCTTGAGAAGAAGTTGAAAATGTGAAAAGTTTACAGACAGACAGACAGCTAGAAAGACAGACGGACACCGGACAAAATGTGATCAGAAAAGCTCACTTGAGCCTTCGGCTCAGGCGAGCTAAAAATTATTTACAAAAGGACAGACAGAAGGACGAACAATGGACACCTAACTAACGCATAAGCTCTTCTGGTCTTCATCCAGTAGAGCTATATACTGACAGAGAGACAGACAGACTACAACCGCATACTTGTGGGGAATATTTATCACTACTGACTTGTGGGGAACATTTATCACTACTGACTTGTGGGGAAATGTAATGATCACTGTTGAGTTGTGGGGAATATTTATCACTACTGACTTGTGGGGAATATTTATCACTACTGACTTGTGGGGAATATTTATCATTATTATACCTTTACTTAATTACTCTATATAAAACTAATACCATAAAACTGAGAAGATACTACTTCCCTCATCTGAGGACTAATTCCTGAAAATCAGAGTTACTCCCTGGGACTACTCCCTCATGAATATTTATTAGTAATTTTAACTAATTAAAATGAACAGTGGGTGGAGCGTTCAAGGAAACTTTAGTCTGTGACGTAATGTTATTAACAATGAAACGATGACGTCAAAACATTTCGATATGCCAGGTCAAAATCATAGTGATACTAAACCAGAATTGTAGAAAAATGAAGACAACGGTAATCCTTTGAAATGTCTGTGAAATAATTTTTTTAATTAAAATAATTTTATTTTCCTCGGTATTCAGATGCATTAGATATTTAACAAAATTTGAATAACATGCATTTGTGATTATTTAAATGCCTCAATCTATATCGTTTTAAAAAATGCCTGAGTCTATAGTTTATAAAACTCTTATGATTTCCGTATAATAAATCAGTTCTGGAATGGGTATGAGGGAAACATCAAATTTATGGCTCGTCGTGGCAGGAAACTATTTCCCTCGGCGGTTTCACCCCCTCGGGAAAAAGTTTTCCTCCTCGGAGAACCATAAATTTGCCATTTCCCTCATACCAATTCCATAACTGTATATTATTATACTTTTGTTAAAACATTTCCTGTCTAAAGTTAAGAAGGTAAAATAACAATTTTTGTATAGTCTAAAAATGTCCAGTCTTACAAAGTTTAAACTAATTAAAATTAGTGTTCCGAATCTGCTTCCAATTCTCAAACATCTAAGCCTTTGGTAGTAAAAACACACCTTACATCGTCTACATATTAACAAGAATGCACAAGATTTAATCTGGCGTGCCACTGACATTTTTTTTCCCCTTTTGCAGTGCACATTGTTTACTTTTGATTCCCTAATTGTCATTTCAATTAAATTAAATGATTTTGTTAAGGTTCATGTGTCATCAGTCAGGTTCACGAATTCTCTGTTTATAATGAAAGAACAATGATCGCTACTGAGAATAATCTCACTATTTAATGAGTTCTTAATATATTTGAAGTCAAAAGAGGTGGTATCGCTGTTTTAGTTTACATAACAAAAGAATTTCAGGTTAAAAAGTGCAATTTTAGGCTAATTAAAATACACAAAACATTCTTCACACCTTAAAAAGATCTATTGAACATCTGTTGATCGTGTTGATGGAAAAAATTCCATATGTTTCAATTATTTTATCTTTTTCATCGCTATTAACTTAGAAGAACTTTACAAAACCAGTTGCACCATGACAGAAATATGTAGACAAGATATCATCTCGCTGTGTGATGCCATAACCTCTGACCCCCTCAGGCCTAATAAGTTCATACAGAATTGAACATATTTTCTCTTCAATAGGTTCATCTAAGAAAAGTATTTGCAAATGTTTATATTACAGAATAAACAACTTCATTTTCAATTTTCATGATCTTTCTCAAAATTCTGTGTTGCAATGTTGACAATGAACATGATGAAATAGTCTTTGTTTATTTGAATGACTTTAGTTGGACTTTCACTAAGTAATCCCTATACATTTTATGTGTCATCACTCTGCTACAGAAAGTTTTATTTAAATCAAATTCTTTCTCTGATTGCGCAAACTTAGATAAAACAAGAGCACCACTAAGCTGAGCATCCCCTCGCACCAGGAACTTCACCAGTAATGGCAATGTCTCCATACGAGAAAAAAATTCTTAAGAGGGACGTTATCTACAATCATCTAGTCCTAGTAATCAAGGGTACCCAGTATTACTATATACAAGTAATAGCTTTTCAAAAAGCTTGCCTGACTAATCAATCATTATCTATGGAACGTATAAGCAAGAGAGGTGCTAAACATTTCTGTCATCAAGGAGCGACATAGTTGCGATCATACTTAATTACACAAGATGTACAATTGCATTGCCGTAGGAACTGGGGGAGGGGGCACAGGGGAGCCGTGCCCCCCCCCCCCCAATAATTTTGCTGATATATAGAATACTATAGAAAACATAGCTGCTGTATGCTTTTGCCCCCTCAATAATATTGTCTGATGCCTTTTTGTTTTTGTTTTTTTTTTTTTTTTGCTTGTCAAGGAATTTTGGTAGTTCATAGTCCCCCCCCCCCCCCCCCCCCACTGAAAATGTGTGTTTTTGCCCCCTCAAAGTGAAATTGCTTCCTGCGAGCCTGAATTGACTTTCTCAAATGTCATAACCAAATACTACAGATTAACAAATATCTAAGACATGTCACTATTTGGTCATTTATTAGTTAGCCCACGGGCCGACTAGTTACGTTGGGATGAAACTGCAAGAACACTAGCATAGATTATAATTCTGGGAAAAATAGTTAGATGACTTGTTTTAAAGAAATTCATATTACATGTATTCTCTAACCAGAGGGCACCCTTCTTCATGCACACTCTCGTCAGTGATAGATTGATGAGACGGCCTCTATTTATAGACTGGTCTCTTTTCTGTCGTTCTCGACGACGAAGTAAATTATGAACACTTTTAACTGGGAAAGTTGTCTTGAAGTGTTTGAGACAAAAATGCTTCAATGCTGCTCTAGAACTCAAAGTAAATGCCCTGTACAGTTTATAGCTAGAGCAAAACAAGATACTAATAGCACCCCCCCCCCCCTTATAAATAAGTTTAAATTACATCTTTATGTATAGTTTTAAAATTGTTCAGTTTTTCTTTTCAATCGATTTCAGGACCTTTCTCATAATTTATAATAACATGCTTTTTTACGAAATGAAAACCAGTACAGATCATGATGTCTTCTTCAATTTGCCGATTCTTTACTTAGAACCTTACGAGGTGAAGCCCATTCCTCTACGGGTACTGACCTACACTGTTGTCACTGTATTAATATGAGGCCAAACAAAAAAATATGTGTGGTTCCGGTTACACCTCCAAAAAAATTAGGGTAGATAGGTAGGGATTTTTTTTTTTTTTTTTTTTTTTTTTTAACAAAATGATTTTCTTATTTTTTCTAAATAATACTTATCACTACTTTGCAAATGACATTTAGATGTGGTGTGATAATATACTAGTCAATATTGGTAGGGGACACCTACATGCTAGCTTGCTTTGGATTTAACACTAATAAACACTTGCACTCTGTTGTGCAAAAGGGCCATCATTGCTGAAACTAAAACTTAAACCAGAGCCATTGATGGAAATTGGGGAAAATTCCGGAAAAAATATG